GGGCTAGGTACAGTGCGGGGTCTTCGCGTTCTTCCTCGCGGGCTTCGTGGTGGCGGCGCTGGTTTGGCCTGACCAGAAGTGAATTGTATGGTTGTTTGAAAAAAAAGAACAAACATCCTCCTCCTAGTCTTCCGCCTGGTTCGAGCAGCCTCGATCAATTACGCGTCGTTGGCTCATTCCGCCCGCGGCCCGCCCGCGGCTGCCATGGCAGCCCGCGGCACGCCCATGGCAGGCTCGAGTCACACAGCGCCACACAGAAACCAGGACCAGCACTAGCACCTGCACAGCAGAAGCCAGGACCAGTTTAAAAAACCAGCACTTGCGTCAGACGAGCAACCGGTTCCATCACTTTAAAGGAAGCCTGAATAGCAACCAAAAACATCTCAGCGGCCACCGTTGCCACGGCCGTTAGACGTCCTGCCCCCCCCTTGGGTCGCCTCGCGCGTTCGTTCGTTCTTCTTCCTTCATCAGTCCTTCCAATCCTCTCTCCATCCCTCCCCCCTCTTCTCTCTTTCCCCCTTTGTCCATTTCATCCCTCCATACTTCCATGTTTGCCTCATCGGAGACTTCCCGAGGCCGACATCTGGGGCATGGCCTGCTGCCTGATAGAGATTTTAGGCGGGCGATGATTCTTCCTCTTGCCCGATGAGAAGGTCAAGAAGGACACCGAAGCAAAAGCAGGGGCGAAGGAGCAGGCAGAACATGTGGCCCTTCTGAGTCAGCGCATCAGGAATTTCGACGTCGCCAGTGCTCGGACTGGGGTGTTCAGTCACCTTGCTGTTCCGCATGCTTATGATCCTTCCATCTTGGACACGCAGTGATGATTCATCTGCTACAGTCGCTGTTGGTACAGCCAGTGTTGCCATCGTTGCTTGGACCGTTGCTGATGCGGCCGTCGTTGCGAACCTTCCGCCGCCGCCAGGGGGGCCCATCCCGTTCGAGGACATTCCAGAGGTGCCGCAGACGACGGCGCCCCGACGGAGGTGACGGCTGCGTCGGCGTTGGCGTTGGCGGCGGCGACGACGACGACGACGACGACGACGACGACGACGACGACGACACGACTACGACTACGACCTTTCCTAGGGCGCGTGCGGACCATAATCTCGAGGCGGCTTCCGCGGTTCCGACGAGGGCCCAGGAGGCCTATAGAATCCCGCCGACCCTCGACCCTCGAGGTCTGGCGCCCTGCCTCCCGGGCGTCCGCAGAGGTCCCCCCCGGGGGTCCGGAGGCCTCCTGGGCGACAACGTCCAGCTGCCCTGCCCTGCCCTCTGTGGGCCCTGGAAACCCAGACCCCCTCGAGGTATGAAAAAATCACGACGGGAGGTTTTTCTCTATTTTTGGGCTTTGGGGGCCCTTACCGGCCCTCGGGACCGTCAAAAAACGACGCAGGACGAAAAACCGGTCCCGGGGAATGGGTCGAGACCTCGGGGGGTCGACGTCATGAAAAAATCATGACGTCGGGGGTCTGGGCTTTGTGGGCCCTGGAAACGGCAGGGCCGTTTTTTTAACCGTTTTCAAACAAATGTCCCTTGAACATGGAAGCGGCAAAAAAAAACGGCAACCGGAAGCGGCAAAAAAACGGCGCCAGGATTGGAACCAGAGCCGGAACCGGTCAAAAAACGGCGACGGCACCGGTAAAGAAACGGCGTCGGAATTCCGGCAAAAAACGGCGGAACGGAACCGGTAAAAAAAAGCGGCCCTGTCGTTTCCAGGGCCCACGAAGGCCCTGCCCCCCTCGATCGTGGATCCTCGACCTTCGGCCGAAGACTGTCGAGACTGGATCCTCCCTCGATCGTGCCGAAGACTGTCGAGACTGTCCGATCCTGCCCCCCTCGATCGTGCCGAAGACTGTCGAGACTGGATCTTCGGCCTTCGGTCCTCGGCCCTCGGCCCTCGGCCCTCGGCCCTCGGGCCCCAGCCCTCGGCCCTCGGTGCTTCGAGGTGGCGCAGATCGTCGACTGCCTCCGGCGGGAGCTGCCGCCCCTGGTGCCCCACTGGTTCGCCGAGGCGGTGCAGCCGGCCCTCCGGCAGTGCTTCGCGTTCGTGCCCGCGGGCAGGCCGCCCTCCTCCTGCTCAGGAGGAGGAGGAGGAGGAGGAGGAGGAGGAGAAGGAGGAGGAGGAGGAGGAGGAGGAGGAGGAGGAGGGGGGGGGAGGAAGAGGAGGGAGGAGGAGGAGGAGGAGGAGGAGGAGGAGGAGGGCCATGACAAGCCCAAGATGCATCGGCGAAACTGCAACACACCCTCCCGTCCCAAGTCCCCTCCTCATACGTCCCTGCAAGCGGCGGCAACTAGATTCAGCCGGGAAGACTCGGCTGGCTGGATTCGGCCCACACCTCGGCCAGTCTGAATTCGACCAAAGAGGGAATCTGGCCCGACTGGCTGAATATGGCCCAGCCGAATTCGGCTAGCTGGAAACTAAATTCGGCCTTCTGAACTCGGCTGGCGCTCCAGCTGCAGCGTGAGCACTGGATGAACTCGGCCGCGGAGAAACTCGGCCGGACAAAATTCGGCCGGAGAAGCTCGGCCTGGGAAAAATTTGGCTGGAGACTTCGGCTACACTGAGCTCGGCCCGAGAAACTCGGCCCGGGGCAAAATCCGCCGGACAAACTCGGCCACATTGAGCATCTTGGCGGCTAGAAGGGCCCCAGAGGTGTGTGGAGGAGTTCGGCATCCCTACCCTCCTCCTCGCCCTTGTCTCACTGGGTGTTGGACTCAAGGGGAGGGGAAGAGGGGGAGGAGTGGCAGGCAGTCATCACAGACCGCTCTTCACCTCAGGCGTTGGTTGAAGGCGCGACCGTATCTCCAGGAAGCGTCGGCCTGGGGCGGGGGGGGAACGCTGATTCGGGGGATCGCGGGGGCGTGCAAGGATGAGGGGGGTATAGGGGGGGATAGGGGGAGCGGCTGGGTGACAAATTGCTTGTCGTCGTGCCAATGTTGTGCCTGCGCTGGCCTAGCTTTACTCATTGTCTTACGCGGGATGTATGGCAGGGGAAGAGGTTTTGCAGGGCAGGAAATCGCGTGACCACAAAACGTTTTGTAGTCACGGATTCGCTTTGCCCCCGGGCAGCCTTCCCGAAGAAGACAAGAGGTGAGCAGGGTGAAAAACGACGCGTTCGTGTACTCGCGCAAGTTTTGCGGCGCCCAGCTTAATTTTTGTATTCATTCGGGATGCTTACGCTGGGGCAAGAAATGTGCGTGACTACAGCAAGTGCTGTACAAGCCCAAAGTTTGAGCACTGCTTTACTGTTCGCCCTCGCTCGTTGTGCTGTTGCTTTTGCTGATCATTTCCTCGGCCCTGCTCTCCTCGTGTCGGCTACGCTCACAGCATCTCTCCTGATTGTTTTTCCCAGCAGCAGGAGGAGGAAAAGGAGGAGGAGGAGGAGGAGGCAGAGGAGGAGGAGGAGGAGGAGGAGGAGGAGGAGGAGGAAAAGGAGGAGAAGGAGGAGGAGGAGAGATGAGGAGAGGCACCGCGCGAACCTGTGCCACGCGGGCCACCGATCGGGCGTTGCGAAATGGGGGGGGCGATGAATTGGGGGGGAAACGTGCACACGTCGTGCGGGGCCCCTTTCTCTCGTGGGGGGCCTGCGCGCAGCAGTGCTGAAGTCGAGTCCGCCCGAAGGATGGTACCGGCGCTTCGGCTTGCCTGTGCAGGCTGCGCCTGTTTGAAAGGGAGCTCGCCTGCCTCGTATGCCTCGCGCGGGATCGCCTCTTGGGGGGCCGTACGCGCGCGCAACGCCCGCTGCGGCTCCCGAAGACGATTCCGAATGCACTCGGCCAGGCGAAACTCGGCCGGCCGAACTCGTCCGGAAAAATTCGGCCTCACAAACTCGGTTCGGAAAAAAATCGGCCAGGCAAACTCGGACCAGAAACAAATCGGTTCGAACCTGCGCACACTTGATATCTTCATCGCTAGCCTAGATGGCAATCATCTGCTTATACCATGTGGCAGGTGCATAAGTTCAGACAGGTTGCAAACGACACACAGGCTACTGACTTTGACCCATGCACCTTTGGCAAGCCCTCTAAGGCCCCGACCAGGATACTAGCATTGCATGTGCCACGGCTGCCCACTGTCATCAACACGAGAGCCAACCGAAGCAAATGCATTTGTTCCACACAATCCAACAGCATACGCATCAACATCCGCCAGCGACAACCTACCCACATAACTGTGCAAACTCGTCACGACGGCCCTAGCAGGCGAACTCACACGATTCACTAAGTTAGCTCAAACAAATGACCATACAGGTACCCCCACTCGGCCCGTACTTGGAACAGCATGTGACAACCAACGCCGCGACGCCATAGGACCAAGCACCAGCACAACACACTAGATAGTATATACAAAACGAGATAGCAAGGACATACTAGCACAGGTTCCAGAATCACCATACGCAAGCACCACCACAACTACACGCGGGGCCCGATGAAGGAAAGGCAGCCCGGTTGAGAACAGCATCAGCGCACGATGCAAGCATCATTGTATTACGCCAGCACCAGCTTACATTACGCCTTCACCAACGCACCAACTCCACATACGACGTTTGCAGCAGCATACGACGGTCGCTCGCTATCGCATAGGCCGTCGCCTACCGATTCGTGCGAAGTGAGGAGAGGCACGGTAATACAGGGCTCCGAAACCCGCCGTGGCCTAGTGATTGATACGATTCGTCTGTTTGATGTGATTTATGTCAGTTGATTTCGCCAACACGTACTTGAAGTTCGACGCAGCACAGCACTACGCTTGCACACGCACCACAACACCAGCACTGCAGACGACGTTAGCACCAGCATGCGACGCCAGCACACGACTGCCTAGGCTATCGCCTACCCCTTATTTGTGTGAAGTGGGGATGGCACGGTAAGACAGGGCCCCGAAACCCGCCGTGACCAGCGATAGTATGATGTAAATCGTATTGTCCGATATGATTGTTGACTATTGAGTTCGCGACCGCCTGCGCGACGCTCGACGGAGCACAGCACCATCCAGTGCATCACCACCCCTTGTGAAAATGTTGTTTCGTGCACGATCTCTATATGTTTATGAGGAGATGTGCGGTAAGACAGGGCTCCAAAGCCGCCGTGACCACTCAATTGATTTGATTTGTCTGTATACTCTGATTTGTTGTACGTTGAACCCGTGCATTGCTACATGGCGTCCGACGAGCACAGCACTGCGACGGCAGCACCAGCACTACGACGCCAGTACAGCATATGAGGGACGAGGGTAGCACCAGAGCTACGTCAACACCATATCACTAAAGCTACCGCCTACCGATTCTGGAAGTAAGGAAGGCACGATGATTCAGGGCTCAGAAACCCGCCGCGACTTGAGTTTGCTCGATCTGTTCATAGTGTTTAATGAAAGAGTTGTCTATGAGTTCGAGACCTCCTTCGTCGCGCTCGACTGAGCACGTCACCATGCGACATCGCACCTCTCCGTGATTACACGTTTGATTTGGGCATCGATGTGTGCGTTGCGGGGAGAGGCAAGGCAAGACAGGACTCCGAAACCCGCAGTGACAACAGTGTGTTCGAGTTGTTTCGTATTGCTCGATGTGATAGATGTCTACTAAGTTCGGGGCAACCTACATGGCGCCCGACGGAACGCAGCGCCACGCGATGTTGGCACCTTCCCTGGTTCGCACATTGATTCGTGATTCGATACGCATCGCGAAGTGCAATGTGGCTTATGGCCCGCATGCCGAGGTCGTGTCCTCGCACGTGACACTCGACGGGGCACGGCGTGCACGCGACGCCACCACCAGCGCGCGACGCCAGAATCAGCACACGATGCCAACGCAGAAATACATCGCAGTGCCTTCTCGGCAACAGGGCGCCGGCAGTGCGAAGGCGCATGGTCCGACTTTGACCGCGCAGGCCGTCACAGTTTTTGCATATACGGCCGGATGATGGACAGCAGTGGGCGTTCAGTAGTCCTGCAGTGTTGTTGTGGTGGATGCGGCGAGTGCTCTTCCTGTACAGTCAGCGCCAGCGCCCACGAAAGCTAGGGGCCTGACATACATCATAGCAGCTTTCTCTCCCTGCGGGCCTTGCAGCCACGGGCGCGCACGCTTGTTTGCAGTCAAAGACGTACCGTCATCCCTCCCTAGTTCACTTCACGTCACTCCGAGCCCTCACTGCAGCGCGCTAGCATATCCTACCTCACCGCATCATTATGTATTGTTCAAAAGGTTATCAGCCCCGAACCGATTCGAGGTGCTCTCCATATCGTGCCCACCGTCGCCATGCATGGTGACGTACATATCCCGTGCAATGGTACACGCGATGACGTGTTTGCAGCACAGAAAGAAGAACTCTTTCCAATTCACCGAGATTCGCGTCATCACCTGCAATGGAGACGCACTTGACCTACTCGACCAAAGGCGACGACCAACTGGCTCGTGAAAGGAAGATCAGATTGGAAAGACATTATAATATATCTGTCAACCACTACGATGACGACGGCAAGGATGCCACGCCACCTACTAAAGAACAAAAGAAAATACCGACCTGGGAACCACTACAACGCACAGCGACACCAAACAGAACAGACGGACATTTGCAAACTGCTGCTCGTACTAGGCCAGCCAGTACCGACCCGGCCAGTCCATCAGTTTACAGGATAGACCAACCGCGGTGTTGCACGATTCATAGTACATTATTCCGCCGAGCCTCGTCACTCTGCCCGTTGATGTTTATTTGCGTTGACATGTTCTTTGAAGCTTGTCAGCTCGTTATCATTTCTCGGCTTCACACACCAGCCTTGCAGTTTGCCGCTGCCTCCTACCAGCACCGTAATAATTTTATCATTTGACTTGGAGGTGTCGGCGGAAGTGAACCTGTTCGTCGGTGGTGGGGAAGTGGAGGTCGTTTTTGCAGCGCCCACATCAGGCCGGCTAGTACGGGCTAGGCGAGCCCACCAAATATCAGCAAATTGTCAGTTCTACCGTTCGGCTTGCCATTACTTATGGGATGGGATTGCACATGCCAGTCACACCGCAGGCACCTACAGCACAGGCCAGCCATTTGGCATGCGCCAGCCTCACAGCCCCGACCATATTATAGGTGGGCGGAGGGGTTTGGGAGATAACGGGGGTGGTCGGGGAGGGCGGTTCTGGTACCCATGGCCATTCTGGCCTTCGGCGGAGGGTGAATGCCCTATTGCGGGCCGCCGAGCGCAAGCAGCTGACTCACGTGAAACAGAAACTGTCTCCCAATTGCTATCCTGTAATCAAGCTTCTATTTCGCCGAGCTGGTTACAGCATTTCTTGGTTGCTGAGTTCTCACTGTGCCTTGCCGTGTGGCCTGCTCTTTGTTTTTGGGCGTCTCATTACCCTAGACACTGCTAGCCTGGACTAATATGATGAGTTAAGCGTAGGCTTGGATGGGGTGGGGGACGCGGGGTGCACTATATGGCCGGGCAGCAGATGCTTCCACATTGCACGTGCACGCGCAGTTCGATATTCCAGCTGCTCCAGCTCTGTTTTCCTTGTCGTGTTAATGATTTCATTCGTTTGTTGGTTGTTGTTCTCCTTCTCCCTACGACATCCGCCCAAATATTCTTCGCCCCCAAAGGCCGCATTTTTTTGCCGCAGCCTGTCGCATTTCATTATCCGCGCTAGCGGCTGTTTTGATGTGATTGTCGAGGCCTACGTCGGCGATTATCTTTGTTCTTTCGGGACGCAACAAGCACCGTTCTTCATGTCCGATCGACGGAGGAGGGCCAGGAGAAAGTGGAGGAGGAGGAGGAGGAGGAGGAGGAGGAGGAGGAGGAGGAGAGGGAGGAGGAGGAGGAGGAGAGGGAAAAGGAGGATAGGCACAGGAGAAAAGAAGGATGAGCGAAACGAGGAACCTTGGGCGGTGAAGCAGGGGAGTGGGAGAAGGGGAGGGCGGAGCAGAGGAAGCACGGGGAGGCGGCCAAGGAGGACTCCGCACCCCGTAGTGTTCCAGCTGCTACAGGCACTGAGTTCCTTCGGGCCTCCTCGGCCACGGACGGCACTGCGTCGATGGCACCGCATCTTGCGGAAAAAGAGAGAGAGAGAGAGAGAGAGAGAGAGACGTGCTGGGCGGGCTCAGGCGGCGATTGCCTTGGCCTCGGCCTTGGCCCTACGGGGCGGCCTTTCGCAGCATCGCTTTTGCCCCGCATCCTCCTCTTTCTCCTTGTTATATGTGTTCATCCAGGGTCGCCTCATTGGTTTTATTCACCAGTCCCGCCATGCTACATTCGCCATATGTTTATTCCAAAAAGGCTTGCGCCACTCCGCCGACCCCAGAAGAGGCGTGGAGTCCACGGTTGAGGCGTCGTGGGCTTCTCGGGCACTATGCGGGGATTATTTTGGGCGTGTTGGGAGCTGCCTGGGAGTTGTCTGGGGGCTTGGTGGAGCCTCCAGGCAGTTTTGAAGCGTGTCGGGGGCCGCCTTAGGGGCCTTTGTTGGACCTCTTGGGGGCCTCTTGGGGCTTACTGGTGGCCGCTGTTGGATCGCTTGGGAGCTTCTTGGGGCCTTCGGGGGGCCTCCTGGGACAGAAAGATCGGATTTTCGGTCCGTGCTCTCCCGCTTCGCCTTTCTTGGGGCCCTCTTGCGGCGATCTTTGGCCGTCTTGCCCCCCCCGCCCCCTTTCGGCCGTCTTGGAAGCCTCTTGGGCCGTCCTGGGGCCTTCGTAGGGACATCCTGGGCAGTTTGGGGGCAGTATACGTGTCCTCTTGGGCCGTCTTGGAGCCTCGGAAGCTCGAGAAGACGGTAACCCCGAAAACCATGAACAACCAGCGGAAAACCATTGATTGTTTCCTTCCGGGGCCCTCATGGGAAGGCTCGTGGGGCGTCTTGGGGCGTCTTGAAGCCATCGTAGGCGTATTCGGCCAATCGTTCCGCGATTCGGGACCGTCTTGAAACGTCTTTGAGGCCACGGGAGGCAGATTTGGAAGCTCCAGAGTCTCCATGGGGTACGCCGAGGAGCCCGAATACCCTCCGCCCCCCCCCCCCTTACCCCCCTCCCCCTCCCTCTTGAACGGAATTTGGGGCCCTGGGATGGGGGAAAGGGGGAGGGGAAAGCCAAGCATCTCACACGCCTTTTCACCCCCGGCAAGCGGGGGTAGCCGGATTCAGTTTCTTCGTCCATATCGTTTGTTTCATTTCTTTTCTCAATTTCGCCCGTCTCACTTTCGTTTTCGTTCGTTGTTCCGTTCCTCTTTATCCCACCTCCTTCGGCATGGGCCGTCGTGGAGCCGCCTTACGCTCAAGGTGAATCCTCATGGAAAGCAATGCGGCGCGGAGTGCATGAGGGGTGCGCCGAAGTGCAACCCCCCTGCTTGGCATCGCTCGGACGTGTGCTTTTTTCCTTCGGCGAGGACCATCGAGGAACATCCTTGATCATCTGGCGAAAAAAACACGCACGAGACCGAAAAAAACACAGGGAATGGACGTCCGAGCGATGGCCCCCCTGAGCCCTCTTGGAGGCCAGCTCTGAGCTTCAGGGAAGCCCAGGGGCACGACGTGTGCGTGGAGTGTGCCGAATTGGCTCTTGGCTGGGAACCCGTTGGAACATGCACCGCACGCGGCTTTCCTCAGTCATTGGAGGATAGTGGAGGCGTAGGCTTAAGTCGGGCCTGTCCCCCCACAGGGGGACTTTCGACGAACAAGAAAACAGACTCGACACAATGCCCAAGACTGATCCAAAATAGTCCAAAAAATCGTCCCCTGACTATGTTTTGACTATCTCTGAACATCCCTCCTGTAGAAGGACGTGCCCGACTTGGGCGCAGGCGCGGGATGGGGCGGGGGCGGGGTGGGCAGAGGAGCGAGGCGAGGAAGATCGAGGAGGGGCACGATGTCTGTGTGTCGTCGTCGTCGCCGCCGCCGGCTTCGTCGCTGCGGTTGCTGCTGTTGCCCTCGTCGCTGTTGTCGTTGTCATCGTCTCCGTCGTTCGTCCGTGCCGCTTCTATTCGTCGTCGTTGCGTTCGCCGTCGCCGGTCGTCGTCGCTCGCTACGCGGCGTCATCGTCACTCGTCGTTCGTCATTGTCGTCAATCGTCGTCGTCACTCGTCTTCGTCGTCGAAGCCGTCATTCCTCGCCGTTCATCATTCAACGTCGTCGCCCATCGTCGTGTCGCCGTCGTTGTCGTCCTCGTCAGTTGTTGTCCATCGTTGTCATCGCTCGTCGTCGTCGTTGCTTGTTGCCGTAAACCGTCACTCATCGATTCAGTCGTCACTGTTCGTGGCTCGTCATCTGTCGTCTCTTCATCGTCCTTGTCGTCGTTGTCGTCGTCGTTGTCGTCGTTGTCGTCGCTCGTCGCCGTCACTCGTTGCCACCCGTTGTCATCGTCGTCGTCATCGTCGGCATCGCCGTCGTCGTCGTCGTTGTCGTCGTCGTCGTCGTCGTTACTCGTTAGGCTTCGCCCGACCCGCCCGCGAGAATCCGCCCCGCCGACCCACCTGGGAGGGACCGCCCGACCCGCCATCCAGAGTCTGCGAGTCCGATCCGTACGTTGCTTTCTACCGACTCTTTAACTATGATTTGTGGTGTCTTCTGCCGCCAGGATATACTTGTTGTTCCGCTCAGAGTGCAAGGAGAGACGTTACGGCCCTTGTGATCAAGTCGGGGTGGCGTAAAAGCTAGTTGGTCCCTCACTCCTTCCCCACTCCGCCATTGCGCCGCGGCCTGTTGGATTGGGCAGAGACGCGAGGCAAAATCAAGGCGAGGAGGAGACATATGATGATGAGGATGAGGAAGCGGAGGAGGAGGAGGAGGAGGAGGAGAAGGGTAAGAAAGAGCACGAGTAGGAGGAGGAGGAGGAGGGACAGGTATGATGATCAGGATCATGATCATGATCATTGATGATGATGATGATGATGATGATGATGATGATGATGATGATGATGATGATGATGATGATGATGATGATGATGATGATGATGATGATGATGGTGATGGTGATGGTGATGGTGATGGTGATGGTGATGGTGATGGTGATGGTGATGGTGATGGTGATGATGGTGATGGTGATGGTGATGGTGATGGTGATGGTGATGGTGATGGTGATGGTGATGGTGATCGTGATGGTGATGGTGATGGTGATGGTGATGATGATGGTGATGATGGTGATGATGGTGATGATGGTGATGGTAATTGTGATGGTGGTGGTGGTGATGATGATGATGATGATGATGATGAGGAGGAGGAGGAGGAGGAGGAGGAGGAGGAGCTGCCAGGCCGACAGCGGCTCAGCTCACTGTCTCCCTCTGCTCGCTGACTGCTCACGACATGGAGGTGCGCGGCATGGACAAACGCCGCGCGAGCTGACGCCCGCGGCGGCGGGCTCCCTCGCGCGCGGCACTGCCCAGGATTGCTGGCCTGGCGCCGGAACCAGCGCTGCCCGGGCTGGATCCGGGGCCGGTGCGCGGAGCCCCATGGGGGGCACGGAGGAAGAGGTCGGGGAGGAGGGCGGGGAGGGCCAGCAGCGGGGCGCGCGTGCGGCCGAGGGCGGGAGCACGGGCCACACACGGAGCGCGCAGGGGAAGTGGCAGCCAGAGCCGCGTCCGCACGTGTCAACGGACGCGAGCAGAGCCCTCGGCATCGCTCGGACGTGTGCATGTTTCCTTCGGCGAGGACCATCGAGGAGCATCCTTGATTATTTGGCGAAAAAACCACGCACGAAACCGAAAAAAGCACAGGGAATGGACGTCCGAGCGATGGCCAGAGCCTTTCTGGACGTCCCTCAGCAGAATCCGAGGCAAGTGTTTCCTGCAAAACGCGTCGGCACCACCGTGGCAAACTCTCAGTGCGCGGGCCCCCCCCCTAAAAAAAACAGGATGGCCCCCGATGTTTCTCCGAGCCCGCGGGTCGCGTGGCGCACGTGACTGAGCACGGAGCTGCCTGGGGCCAGGAAGTGCCGGAAGCAAGGGAGGAAGCTTCTCGGAGGGCTGCTTGTGGAGGAGGAGTTGGCGGAGGAGGGGGAATATATAGATATATGATACTGGAGAAAAACCCAATCAGGGGTTTATGGCTAGGGGGTTATAGGGCTACGTCCAGAGCGGAGGAAGGGAACCTCCAGAGCGAGGGTGTATATTTCCAGCCTGGAGATTCATACAGTATCCAGCTCATCCTCAGTGTTGTCTCTTCTCCTCCCTGCTACTGCTTATACTCCTCCTCCTCATCCTCATCCTCATCCTCCTCCTCTCCTCCTCCGTCTTGCTGCTTCTCCCTCCTCCTTCTCGAAGTTATGTGTTCTTCGGCATCAGTGCCTCCTGATGCTCCGAATGTCGCAGTGTAATATTATCGAGTCTGGCGGGGAGCATGCTTTTCCTTGCCACGACCACTTGCCGCCGCTGGGCGCCGTTTCACTCCAGGCCGGGCCGGAACGCTGTTCTTGCCGCCCTTCCACCAAGTCTCCCGCTGTCTGCCGCTGGCCTCCTCATCCTCCTCTTCTGGCCTCCTCCTCCTCCTCCTCCTCCTCCTCCTCCTCCTCCTCCTCCTCCTCCTCTTCTGGCCTCCTCATCCTCCTCTCCTCATCCTCCTCATCCTCCTCTTCTGGCCTCCTCCTCCTCCTCCTCTTCTGGCCTCCTCCTCATCCTCCTCCTCATCCTCCTGTCTGCCGCTGTTCTGCTTCTGGCCACTTGGTCAGTACCCTCGCCTGCCTCCCGCGTCTTGTCGCCCCGCTCACCCGCAGCCTCGCGCCATCTCGGCAGGAGCTTCCCGGTGCCCAAACTCGTCGCTGCTCCGCCGACGCCGCCCGACTCGGGAGCGCACGCCTCGCGGGGCAGCGGAGGGGCAAACGGGTTGCGCAGGATCGGGGGGTGAGAGAGTGGGGAGGGGGGGGGGGGGAGAGGGTGAGGGCAATGTGCGGAGCGCGTTCGCCCAGACTTCGGGTGTCGATGGAAAGCTGACGACTTGCGGTTGAAGCGGTCTCAGGGCTCGCTGGGGCAGGCACTGAGTGCAGGCTCTGTGGTCGCAAGGCGGCGTTTACGTGCGCATGGTGTCTCACGCAGACGATTGGACGCAAGTGTACGGCTGGCAGATTGCCCCCCGTCGTTGTTTGCGTCGGGAAGTTCGATGCGACTCAATGTCGTTTGGGCAATCATTGGAAGCTTCGTTCACACGATAGTGGAAGTGTGCGCGCTTGCGCGCTTCTCCTTCGCGTATAATTCCCACACATCCCAGTCGTTAGATGCGAAGGGCACCGCCATGGATCTCTCTCATTCTAGATGTCCATATTACTCTCTCTCTCTCTCTCGCTCTCTCAGTGTTGCCCTTCTGTGCACTTCGGCGTCGGGTCCGGTTTCAGCTGTGGATGCACTTCGATGCGCTTTCGGGCCAGCCGACCCGAGTAAATTTTCCGCTCGCACGGGTGTCTCCGCAGACAGCTTCATTTCTGTGTCAAATCGCAAGCAAGCCAGGTGATGACCCTGTGCAGTGCTCAGTTGTTCAGACCGGAGAACGAGAGGGTGCCCACGAACAATGTGGCCCCAGGCAATTTACAGGCACGCCTGCGAAGCAGCTGGGGGTGGGGAGGCCCTTCCAGCGCTATGGCAGGACACTTTTTTCTCGGCCACTTCGAGGCGGGTCGCAGTCAGCAAGTATTGCGATTCCACGCGATAGCGTCTGTGTATTCATATGCGTTTCGTAATTGATTTTTTCCCCTAACAGAAATAATTCGCTGAGCAGTTAATGCTGTAGCTGTACTGTAGGGTGCTACAGTAAATAATTCGCTGAGCAATTAATGCTGTAGCTGTACCTGTAGCTGTAGCTGCGACGAAGCTTTCGCGCGGCGTTTTTTCTGTTTTTCACGACGCCGGGAGGTCTGGGCCAGGAAGGAAAAAGGAGTTAGAAAGGAATTTGATAAGGGATTTCAAAAGTTAGAAAGGAATTCAGTCTTTTTGCGTTAAATTTGTTTTTTACGACGCCAGGAGGTCTGGGCCGGGGAAGAAAAAGGAGTTAGAAAGGAATTTGATAAGGAATTTCAAGAGTTAGAAAGGAATTTCGTTGTTGGGGTCGTTTTTTTTGTTTTTTTGTTTTTTTACAACGACGCCGAGATGTCTGGGCCAGGAAGGAAAAAAAAGGAGTTAGAAAGGAAATTGATAAGGAATTTCCAGAGTTAGAAGGGAATTTCGTTTTGGGTGTTGTTTTTAAACAAAAAGGAAACGACGCCGGGAGGTCTGGGCCAGGAAGGAAAAAGGAGTTAGAAATGAATTTAATAAAGGAATTTCAAGAGTTAGAAAGGAATTTCGTTCTTGGTGGTGTTTTTTTTGTTTTGTTTTTTACGACGCCGAGAGGTCTGGGCCAGGAAGGAAAAAGGAGTTAGAAAGGAATTTAATAAGGAATTTCAAGAGTTAGAAAGGAATTTCGTTTTTTGGAAATTGTTTTTTTTTGTTTTGTTTTTTTACGACGCCGAGAGGTCTGGGCCAGGACAGAAAAAGGAGTTAGAAAGGAATTTAATAAGGAATATCAAGAGTTAGAAAGGAATTTCGTTTTTTTTATTATTATTTTTGTTTTGTTTTTTACAACGACACCGAGAGGTCTGGGCCAGGAAGGAAAAAGGAGTTAGAAAGGAATTTAATAAGGAATTTCAAGGGTTAGAAAGAAATTCATGTTTGGTGGCTGTTTTTTGTTTTGTAATTTTACGACGCCGGGAGGTCAGGGCCAGGAAGGAAAAAAGGAGTTAGAAATGAATTTATCAAGGAATTTCAAGAGTTAGAAAGAAATTTTGTTTTTTGGGTTGTTTTTTGTTTCATTATTTTACAACGCCGAGAGGTTTGGGCCAGGCAGGAAAAAGGAGTTAGAAAGGAATTTAATAAAGGAATTTCAAGAGTTAGAAAGGAATTTCGTTTTTGGTGGTGGTTTTTTGCTTTGTTTTTTACGACGCCGAGAGGTCTGGGCCAGGAAGGAAAAGGAATTAGAAAGGAATTTAATAAGGATTTCCAAGAGTTAGAAAGGAATTTCGTTTTTTTGAAATTGTTTTTTGTTTTGTTTTTTTACGACGCCGTGAGGTCTGGGCCAGGAAGGAAAAATTAATTAGAAGGGAATTTAATAAGGAATTTCAAGAGTTAGAAAGGAATTTCGTTTTTTGGGGCTGTTTTCTGTTTTTTTTACGCGCCGAGAGGTCTGGGCCAGGAAGGAAAAAAGGAGTTAGAAAGGAATTTAATAAGGAATTTCCAGAGTTAAAAAGAAATGTCGTTTTCGGTGTTGTTTTTTTTGTTCTTTTTTTTTTTTCACGACGCCGAGAGGTCTGGGCCAAAAAAACAAAATCCTTTCTAACTCTTGAAATTCCTCATTGAATTCCTTTCTAACTCCTTTTTCCTTCCTGGCCCAGACCTCTCGGCCTCGTAAATAAAAAACAAAACAAAAAACAAAAAAACACAGAAAAAAAACAAAATTCCTTTCTAACCCTTGAAATTCCTAATTAAATTCCTTTCTAACTCCTTTTTCCGTCCTGGCCCAAACCTCTCGGCGTCGCAAAAAAACAAAAAAACGAAAAACAACCCAAAAAACGAAATTCCTTTCTAACTCTTGAAATTCCGTATTAAATATGTTTCTAACTCATTTTTCCTTCCTGGCCCAGACCTCTCGGCGTCTTTAAAAAAGCAAAACAAAAAAAAAAAAAAAAAAAAAAAAAAAAAAAAAAAAAAAAAAAAAAAAAAAACGAAAATTCCTTGCTTGCTAACTCTTGAATTTCCTTATCAAATTCCTTTCTAACTCGTTTTTTCCTTCCTAGCTCAGACCTCTCGGCGTCGTAAAAAGTATAAAAAAAAAAAAAAAAAAAAAAAAAAAAAAAAAAAAAAAACAAAAACCTTTCTAACTCTTGAATTTCCTTATCGAATTCCTTTCTAACTCCTTTTTCCCTTCCTGGCCCTGGCTTCCTCGGGCAATTCGGACTCGATTGTCTTTGAGGTTCAGAACTATCTCTGGTATTCAAATTCCTTTCTAACTCAGGAAATTCCTTATCGAATTCCTTTCTAACTTCCCAACTCAATAGAATGCATAACCAAAATGCTCTTGGCAATAGTTCGAGCCTACATTATTAATTCCCGACACAATTATTGATGTAATTGCATACAGTGCGCACTACAGAAATAATTCCGAAACAAATTAAAGCTGTAGTGCGCACTGTATGCAATTACATCACTAATTGTGTCGGGAATTAATAATGTAGGCTCGAACTATTGCCAAGAGCATTTTGGTTATGCATTCTATTGAGTTGGGAAGTTAGAAAGGAATTCGATAAGGAATTTCCTGAGTTAGAAAGGAATTTGAATACCAGAGATAGTTCTGAACCTCAAAGACAATCAAGTCCGAATTGCCCGAGGAAGCCAGGGCCAGGAAGGGAAAAAGGAGTTAGAAAGGAATTCGATAAGGAAATTCAAGAGTTAGAAAGGTTTGTTTTTTTTTATAAACTATTTTTGACGACGCCGAGAGGTCTGAGCTAGGAAGGAAAAAACGAGTTAGAAAGGAATTTGATAAGGAAATTCAAGAGTTAGCAAGCAAGGAATTTCGTTTTGGGGGTGTTTTTTTTTGTTTTGCTTTTTTTAAGACGCCGAGAGGTCTGGGCCAGGAAGGAAAAATGAGTTAGAAACATATTTAATACGGAATTTCAAGAGTTAGAAAGGAATTTCGTTGTTTGGGTTGTTTTTCGTTTTTTTGTTTTTTTTTGCGACGCCGAGAGGTTTGGGCCAGGACGGAAAAAGGAGTTAGAAAGGAATTTAATTAGGAATTTCAAGGGTTAGAAAGGAATTTTGTTTTTTTTTATGTGTTTTTTTTTTGTTTTGTTTTTTATTTACGAGGCCGAGAGGTCTGGGCCAGGAAGGAAAAAGGAGTTATAAAGGAATTCAATAAGGAATTTCAAGAGTTAGAAAGGATTTTGTTTTTTTGGCCCAGACCTCTCGGCGTCGTGAAAAAAAAAAAAAAAAAAAAAAAAAAAAAAAAAAAAAAAAAAAAAAAAAAAAAAAAAAAACAAAAAAAACGAAATTTCTTTTTAACTCTGGAAATTCCTTATTAAATTCCTTTCTAACTCCTTTTTTCCTTCCTGGCCCAGACCTCTCGGCGCGTAAAAAAAAAGAAAACAGCCCCAAAAAACGAAATTCCTTTCTAACTCTTGAAATTCCTTATTAAATTCCCTTCTAATTTTTTTCCTTCCTGGCCCAGACCTCTCGGCGTCGTAAAAAAAACAAAACAAAAAACAATTTCAAAAAAACGAAATTCCTTTCTAACTCTTGGAAATCCTTATTAAATTCCTTTCTAATTCCTTTTTCCTTCCTGGCCCAGACCTCTCGGCGTCGTAAAAAACAAAACAAAAAACCACCACCAAAAACGAAATTCCTTTCTAACTCTTGAAATTCCTTTATTAAATTCCTTTCTAACTCCTTTTTCCTGCCTGGCCCAAACCTCTCGGCGTTGTAAAATAATGAAACAAAAAACAACCCAAAAAACAAAATTTCTTTCTAACTCTTGAAATTCCTTGATAAATTCATTTCTAACTACTTTTTTTCCTTCCTGGCCCTGACCTCCCGGCGTCGTAAAATTACAAAACAAAAAACAGCCACCAAACATGAATTTCTTTCTAACCCTTGAAATTCCTTATTAAATTCCTTTCTAACTCCTTTTTCCTTCCTGGCCCAGACCTCTCGGTGTCGTTGTAAAAAACAAAACAAAAATAATAATAAAAAAAACGAAATTCCTTTCTAACTCTTGATATTCCTTATTAAATTCCTTTCTAACTCCTTTTTCTGTCCTGGCCCAGACCTCTCGGCGTCGTAAAAAAACAAAACAAAAAAAAACAATTTCCAAAAAACGAAATTCCTTTCTAACTCTTGAAATTCCTTATTAAATTCCTTTCTAACTCCTTTTTCCTTCCTGGCCCAGACCTCTCGGCGTCGTAAAAAACAAAACAAAAAAAACACCACCAAGAACGAAATTCCTTTCTAACTCTTGAAATTCCTTTATTAAATTCATTTCTAACTCCTTTTTCCTTCCTGGCCCAGACCTCCCGGCGTCGTTTCCTTTTTGTTTAAAAACAACACCCAAAACGAAATTCCCTTCTAACTCTGGAAATTCCTTATCAATTTCCTTTCTAACTCCTTTTTTTTCCTTCCTGGCCCAGACATCTCGGCGTCGTTGTAAAAAAACAAAAAAACAAAAAAAACGACCCCAACAACGAAATTCCTTTCTAACTCTTGAAATTCCTTATCAAATTCCTTTCTAACTCCTTTTTCTTCCCCGGCCCAGACCTCCTGGCGTCGTAAAAAACAAATTTAACGCAAAAAGACTGAATTCCTTTCTAACTTTTGAAATCCCTTATCAAATTCCTTTCTAACTCCTTTTTCCTTCCTGGCCCAGACCTCCCGGCGTCGTGAAAAACAGAAAAAACGCCGCGCGAAAGCTTCGTCGCAGCTACAGCTACAGGTACAGCTACAGCATTAATTGCTCAGCGAATTATTTACTGTAGCACCCTACAGTACAGCTACAGCATTAACTGCTCAGCGAATTATTTCTGTTAGGGGAAAAAATCAATGGGTCAGAGTTTGGCTCGTTTGCTTTACGGGTGCCTCTCTCCCTCCCCATCTTTCTCATACTCCGGACTGTCGGGCCCCTGGTCCCACCCCGGCACGTTGTCCTGCATCGGGGTGCGATCACATCTTCGGCCACAATAGGCGCCCAGTACGGCCCCAGCATCTCCAGGACGGCGAAGTAGAGCCTCAGCCGGCCCAGGATCGCCCCAAAACGGTCCAAAACATGTTCGAGAAGGGCCAAAAGGCCCCCAAGAGGGTTCCAAATAGAGCCTCGAGAACCAAAATTAATTGATTTCCATATCGGATTTTGAAGAATTGTCTGCTCCTTAGAAGTCCAGACCGCCCAAGACGGCCCGAGAGGCCCTGAAGATCGCCCCAGGACGGTCCTCAAAACTGCCAAGGGAGCCCCAAGACTGCCCTAGAAGGGCCACATGCGAGTCCCCAGGGCCACGAAGCGCTGTACTAGGCGGGGGGGACGCATGCGAGCTGCGCCACTGGGACCTTCGGTGGAGCTCCCTCTGGGGCTACGAAACATTGTACCGGGCAGGGGGACGCATGCGAACTGCACCACTGGGACCTTCGGTGGAGCTCCCTCTGGGGCCACGAAACGGCGTACTGGGTGGAGGGGACGCGTGCGAACTGCGCAACTGAGACATTCGGTGAAGTCCAGCTGCCTGCGGCAAGTCCCGCCGCCGTGTCTGGGCTGTGGGTTATAAGCCGCCGTGTGGGGCCTCTTGGGGGCCTCTTGGGGGCCTTGGGGGGGCATCTTGGGGGCCTCGGCCTCTCGGGGCCTCTGGGGGGCCTCTTGGGGCCTCCTGGGGGCCCACTGAGGCGAAAGGCGTGTCTTGGGCGCCTCTTGGGCCGTCTTGAGGCGTTCTTAGGCTGTCTTAGGGCCCTTGGGGAGGCCTCTTGGGCCGCTTTGGGGTGGTCTTGGGGGGCCGTTTTGGAGCGTCGGAGCGCCGAAAAGGTGAGAGCGCCCAAATCCTCCAAAAACGCAAGGGCCATCCCTGATTTTTGCCTTGAAGGGGCCATCTTAGGAGGCCTCGCGGGGCGCCTTGGAAGCCTCTTGTGCCATCTTGGGCTTCTTCGAGCGATCATTCGGCGACTCGGGGCCCTCTTGGACCGTCTTGGGGGCCTCCTGGGCCGTCATGGAAGCCTTGGAGAGCCCCTGGGAATCGCCATAGCCGCTCAGGGACCTCCTGGGAGCATGGCCAGTGCACGCATCGAGGCGCTTCCCGAGGAGGTGGGGGCCCGTCAGAGGACTACAGAAGCCCTGTCAGACAGGACTTGGCATTCTACCACGCCTCAACGTGCCAGAGAGTACGGTAGCGGAAATTGCACAACATAGATCGCGCACCATAGATTGCTAGAAACACGCTGATTGGGGCTCACGCTGGCGAACATTCGTAATTGAAAATGGTGTGCCTGTCCCTGATCTGGGGCCTGATCAATATTTGGCGTTTTGCGGTCGGGAGGGCCACCTCGAGAGTTGTCGCTCAAGGGCGTTGTTCGATGTCAACGACCAGGGAAGAGTTGAAGACGATGGTCGAACAGCAAAGGCACTGATCACGTGGAAGATTGATCACACCTACGATTGTTAGCACGATTGTCATACTCACCTACTTCCTGGAGACTCTGTCGCTGGATGCGAGCGTGCGTGCGCAAGTGTGCGTGCTCAGGGCGTGGACTGCTGTGGAAGGCACGCTGAACACGAACCCCCATCGTGCGGCTGCGTCGGTGCGTGCCTGGATGCGCCGGTGCAGCGAGCATGTTGGGCAGCGCTCAACACATCCTGGGCGGGCGCACATTCTGTGAGAGAGCCTAGGGGTCTAGGTCACACGCAGGAGCGCGAAGGTGGCCGCGCTTCGTGTTCTGCAGCCGGGGCTGGAGAGGTCCCCTGGGGGCGGCAACAAGGGCGCAAGGACAACCGCGCAGCACGAGTCGTGAGGCGCGATTTCCAAGGGAAGACTTGCAGCCTTCAGCCTGGGCTCAGGCTGCCACAGCTTGAGGTGGCCCGCCTGTTCTCGCGGGCGGTCGCGCTCTGCGGCGGCGGACGGGCACAGAGAAGCAATGGATCCGTCGGCCTCGCGCGGCGACCTCCAGGTAATCGGCGCGGGCTGCGGCCGCACCGGCACGGCTTCCCTGAAGAGGGCCCTAGAGATCCTCGGCTTCGGGCCGTGCTATCACATGTTCGAAGTCGTCGCGAGAGGCGGGGCCGACGGCGCGCAGAAGGGGGTCGGGGCCAGGGCGGCGGTCTTCCGAGAGGCGGGGGGGCCTCGCAGTCTTCTCGTGCCTCGCCCTGGAGGCTCCCGAGAAAATCTCTGAGCAGACAGGAGGTGCCTTCTGAGAATGCCGGCCCCCCGGCCCCCGGCCCTGCCCCCTTCTGCCCGCCGCCGATAGGGGATCCAAATGCCACCGTCAGGCCAATCTCGTCCACTCCGCCCTGCCCCTCCACCCTCGTCCTCCACATGAGGGGGGAAGCGGGAGATGAGCAGAGGGTGAGGAAGGCAATTCTTGACGCTTCGCGTATCCCCACCAGTTTGCCCACTGTGGTTCGGGCTGCGGTGCCCAAGTGCGTTTGCCCTGAGAATTTAGTTCATTTTGTTCTGTGCACGTGCAACTGCGAGCCTGTCTTACAGGTGCGAGCTTTGTCCGCCGACTCTGGCTGGCGGCGAATTGTCTTGCAAATTAGCCGCGTACCGTGACCCGGACGCCGCTTCCGCTCCCTGTCCGTTGCCTCGGAGCCGCTGACCAAAAAAAGTATCCCCACCAGTGACCCCTGGCGCCCTGTGGCGACAAGGTCCGTCTGCGTACCTGGTGACTTCCTCCCACGGTACCTACATGAGCTCGTGTGTGCTCGCACCTCTCGGGCTCCGTTCTCCTGGTTGCGCGCCGCTTTCCCGGGTCCGCCCGTCTGGTGGCACCGCCCCGCTCGGCAGACGTGTGGTCTGTTGGTACAGAACAGGTCACGACCTCTCCTGGCGTGCAGGAGCCAGTTCACCCGCATGTGTGCATCAGCTACCCTGGCCGTTTGCAGTCAGCTCAGCCAGCTCAGCCTCAGCCTGCGGCCCCACCGGCGGTAGGTTCTGATTCCGGGCTCGGCCGCTGCGCTCTTAGGCTCGCGCGTCGCTAATTAGATCGGCCCGTGGCTCGGACCTCTCCGCTCGGCGACTGCGATTCCGCGTCCGCCCGCGACCAAAAAAAAATATCCCCACCAGCCCATGTAGAAACGATGCCCATGAGAGCTGACGGGGGGAGAGAGGAAGAGCCACGCATAGTCAAACAGCGAGGGAGGCCAGCTCGGACGGCGTGTTGGGGCCATCTTCGGGCCCGCGTGGGGGGTGGGCGGGCGAAGGGGAGGAGGAGGAGGAGGAGGAGGAGGAGGAGGAGGAGGAGGAGGAGGAGGAGGAGGGGAAGGAGGAGGACGAGGAGGAGGAGGAGGAGGAGGAGGAGGAGGAGAAGGGAGGAGGAGGAGGGAGGAGGAGGAGGAGAAACAGGAGGAAGAGGAGGAGGAGGCAAATAAGAACGAGGAGGACGAGGAGGAGGAGGAGGAGGAGGACGAGACGGCGTCTTGCGTGCCTCGGGTGAGCTTCTTGGGCCTCTTGGGGGGCCGCTCAGGGGGCCTCTTGGGTGCCTCTCGGGTGCCCCGTGGGGCGCTCTTGGGGCTCTCTTGGGGGCCTCTTTGGGAGCCCTGGAAGGCCTCTCGGTGCCATCTTGAAGGCAATCGGTCAAAAGAGGGGGGGTCCTCGATAGCTGCCCCCCCCCTCGGGAGCCACGATCCTCGTGAGTGGTGTCAGAAATTGGCCCTCCCACTGGCCGAAAAAGGGCCCTCTGAAACGTCGGTCCCCCTCCCAAAGCAAAACCAGGGAGGGGAGGAGGAGGGCTCCCCTCTCCAAAGGGAAGAGGGGTTGTGGAAGGAAAAAGAGATCACCCTTAGACCACCTGTCGCCCAAAGGGCTGGTGGGATTACGTTCCCCCCTCGGGAGCCCAACAAATCGCTTCTTGGGCCCATATTGGAGCGCTCTTGGACGCTCTTGGGGCCGTCGTGGTGCTCTCTCGAGCCTCTCTTGGGGCCCTCTTGGGCCATCTTGGAGCCGCCTTGAGGCCTCGGAAGGCCACCGAAAGCAAGGCGAGAAGGCCAAATTCATTGTTTGTCTTGTAGTTGTTGAAGGATGTTGGCCTCTTGGCGGCCTGGGGGGGCTCCGTGGCCATCTTTTGCCGTCTTGGAGCGGTATTGGGGCCTCTTGGGGCATCTTGGGAGCCATGTTGAGACAGCTTGGACTATCTTGAGCCATCCTGGAGGTCATTTGGGGCTCTCTGAGTCCGCTTGGGGGCCACTTGGGGGCCTCTTGGAGGCCTCTCGGGGGCCTCTTGGAGCCGTCTTGGCGCCTCTTGGAGCAGTCTTGGCGCCTCTTGGGGCGCTCGTGGGACCCTTTTGGGAGCCTCTTGGGAGCCCTGGAGGGCCTCTTGGGGCCATCTTGGAGGCGGTCGGTCAAAAGAGAGGGGTCCTCGATGTGCGTCACCCCCAGGGGGGCCACGATCTGCGTGAAGGATGTCAAAAGTTGGCCCTCCCACTGGCTGAAAAACAAGCCTCCGACACCTCGCGAAACCTCCATAACAACCTCAGGGAGGGGACGGGGAGGGTTCCCACCCCGAAGGGAAGAGGAGTTGTGGAAGAGGAAAGAAAACTTCCTTAGACGACCTGTCGCCCAGAGGGCTGGTGGGACTTAGGTGCGCGCGCTCACAATAGCGGACGACCTATCCCACCCACCCATCCCAAGAGGTCACTCGGCGCGTTGGGAGGAAGCCTTCGCGCAGCCCATCAAGGCCGATTGGAAGGCCCTGGTTGCGGGCTTCCCCTCTGCGGTGGACTTCCCGGCGTCGCTGGCTTATGTCGAGCTGATGGCAGCCTTCCCCAAAGCCAAGGTAATCCTCTCGCTGCGTGACTCCCAGAGCTGGTCAAAGAGCGTGCGCGAGACCATTTGGTCCCCCTACGCTGCGGAGCTCTCGTGGGTGGTCTGGCCGTTCATGCGCACCTTCCAGCGCATGACCGCGCTAATGCGGGCGCGATTCTTCGAGGACGCGGACGGCGGTGTCGCCTCGGGCGCTGTTTTCGATGACAAGGCATTGCAGGAGCGTTTCGAGGCCTGGAATGCGCGGGTGATCGACACCGTGCCCGAGGAACGCTTACTCGTGTTCCGGGCTTCGGACGGCTGGGGTCCGCTGTGCAAGTTCTTGGACGTCGCCGAACCCTCGGAGGACTACCCACGGGTCAACGACACCGACGCGTTCAAGGAGAGGATAAGCAAACGATGGTGGAAAGCGGTTGCCATCGAAGCTGGCGTGTTATTGCTGGCCGTCGGTGGTGCAGTAGCGATCATGAGGCGTCGCGGGTGAGGTTACGCTATGCTCCGCCTGGCAGTCGAATTGTCGGTGGAGGTCTGGCGTTAAATTGGGAAGGTCAGCTTGCTTCCTTGCTTTCTTGTTTATTACCCACCCCCTTACTACAACGCTCAACAAAATTAACCCCAACAATGGTTGACGCCCCCCTTCAATGTCGCCCCCACTCACCCTTTCAATGTCGCCCCCCTCAATGTCGAAGCATGGCGAAACGCAGTCTGAGCGGGTGTGACTCGGAAGTTCCACGATGACCGACTCCGCCAGCAACCATTTGACACGCAATGTCACCCACGCCCTAAACGTCACATCGGCAAGGACATTGCGCAGCACATGTTTTAAGCTCATTTGGTCGAGGGTAATAAGCTAATTCGCTACCCAGCTACTTACTTCAAAACTCGCCTCATCACTCACACACTTCCGCATGCACTTGCGTATTTATGCGTGTTTACTTCGGAAGTTTCTCCTAATTGGGGTCGCGCCGAGCTCATGAAGACAAATTGTCGCGACGCCTGGGCGAGAGCAGCATGTCGCTCGCTCGCGCGCAGAACGGCTTCCGACAATTCGGCGTCTACAACGTCTACGTGGCACCGTATTGCGTGTCAGGGGCGCTGCCCAGGGCAAGATTTGCACAGGCACGGCCCAGTCCAGAGTGAGGTGAGGTGAAAGGCACCACCAATATGAAGCCATATTGTCTCCCGCAGTAGGCTCCTACTCCTCGGGGCAAAAGCCTACTCCCGCGAGTGGGAGCCTACTCCCCGGGAGGTGAAAGCCCACTCTTGGGTGTGACGGGGGTGGCGCCGTTCCGGAGCTTACCCCCCCGGGGAGTAGGAGCCTATTCCAAGGGGAGCAGGTAGGAGCCGAATCCCAGGGGGGTAGACTCCCAGGGGAGCAGTCCTGGGAGTAGGAGCCTACGCCCAGGGGAGAAGGAGCTACCCCCACGGGGGTAGGAGCCTACTACCGGGAGAAGGAGCCTACTTGCGGGGGATCAGGAGCCCTATTGCGAGGAGAGTACGAGCTTACCCCAAGGGGAGTAGGAGCCTACAGGAGGCTACTCCTGGGAGTAGCAGGCTACTGCCAGTGGGGAGTAGCAGGCTACTCCCGAAGCGTAAGGGGCTACTCCCGCCACTAGGCCCGCCCGACCCGTCCCGCCCCTTAGGGTACACGCGTGCCAACTCGATGATGCATCATACTTCAATGTCCCGCCCGCCCGACCCACCCCGCCCGTTAGGATCCGCCCGCCCGACACAACTCACCCGCCTGACCCGGCCCTCCCGTTAGGGTACACGCGTGCCAACCCGATGATGCATCACATTCTAAGGTCCCGCCCGCCCGACCCGACGCGCCTGCTAGGGTCCGCCCGACCCGACCAGACACGCCTGCCCGACCCGACCCGCCCATTAGGATACACGCGTGCTAAGTCGCTGGCACCTCTTAGTTTAATGTTTTGCCTGCCCGACCCGACCCGCCCGTTTGGGCACACGCGTGCCAACCCGATGATGCATCTTGCTCAAAAGTCCCGCCCACCCGACCCGACCCGCTCGTCAGGGCACGCGCGCGCCAACTCGATGACGCATCATGACTGAATGCCTCGCCCGCCCGACCCGACCCGGCCCGTAGGGTAAAGGCGTGCCAACTCGATGATGCCTCATATTTTGACGTCCCGCCCGCCCGCCCCGACCCGCCTACTAGGGCACAATCACTACGGTTTCTTCGGTGCTCACTGCAGTACTGACTGGGGGGCGCCCCCCCCGCCACCGCCATTTTGAACTGATTTTGGCCGGCGAGCCCGCCGCCATTTTGTTGTTGCCTAGTTGCGATTACGGTTGCACCCGCGGGCGGGTTGAAATGTTTCGTTTGGTTGGGAATTGAAAAATATCGCACTTCCGCGTCACGCGGTGCGCCTTTTAAATAGAATTGCAAATATTTCTCGGGAGAGTCCCACCCCCGCCTGAGATATTCTGTGTTGTTATGTTCGTTGTAGTTTTTTCAACGGATTGCAAAACGCAGCCCGCCTGAATAATTCCGCACTGGTCATAAGACGATTCAACGCCAAATTTGTACGGGGAGTTCCAACTGATTTGAATTCGTTGGTTCGCCTTGCCGCCGTTTCTTTCGATACGTCAGTTACTGTTTCAGGCTCCGCCGCCCGTTTTTTCCTGAAATGGAGTATGTTGTATTGCTTCCAGTGCGATAGGGCACACGCGTGACATCTCCATGAAGCAGCATGCTTTAATGCCCCGCCTGCCCGACCCGACCCGCCCCTGCAGGTCCGCCCGACCCGTCCCGCCCGTTAGGGTACTCGCGTGCCAACTCGATGATGCGTCATACTTCAATGTCCTGCCCGCCCCGCCCCCGCCCGTCAGGATCCGCCCGCCCTACCCGACACGCCCGCCTGACCCGGCCCGCCCGTTAGGGTACACGCGTGCCAACCCGACGACGCATCACATCTTAACATCTCGCCCGCCCGCCCGCCCCGACCCGCCTATTAGGGTCTGCCCGACCCGACCCGACCCGACCCGCCCGCCCGACCCGACCCGCCCGTTAGGGTACACGAGTGCCAACGTGATTACGCGTCATACTTGAATGTCAAGCCCGCGGGACCCGACCCAAGCGTTAGGGTATACGCGTGCCAACTCGATGATACATCCTGTTTTAATGTCCCGCCCGCCCGACCCGGCCCGTTCGTTAGGGCACGCGCGTGCCAGATCGATGATGTTTCATACGTTCAATGTCCTTCCCGTCCGAGCCGACCCACCCGTTAGGGTACGCGCGTGCCACTTCGATGATGCATCATGATTTAATGTCCCGCCCGCACCGACCCACCCATTGGGGCACGCGCTTGGCATCGCGATGATGCATCGTACTTTAATGTCCCGCCCGCCCGACCCGACCCGCCCGTTAGGGTACGCGCGTGCCAGCTCGATGATGTCTCATACTTAATGTCCCGCCCGCCCGCCCCGACCCGCCCGTTAGAGTCCGCCCTCCTGGCCTGACCCGCCCGCCCGCCCGACCTGCTTGTGAGGGCACACGCGGGCGAACTCGAAAAGGCATCATACTTTAATGTCTCGCCCGCCCGACCAGACCCGCCCATTAGGGTCCGCGTGCCCGTTCGATTCTGCCCATCCGCCCGGGGAATAAGAGCCTACTCCCAGGAGTCGGAAGCTAGCCCCCGGGGAGTAGGAGGAGCCTACTCCCAGGCGGGGCGTAGGTCCAGCTTGTTTCCGGGAGAGGAGGTGGCTACACTCCCGGGGGGGACGGGGGACGGGGTGGTGCTGCCCCGTGGGAAGTAGGAGCCTACTCCCGGGGGTGGGCGGGGGGTAGGAGCCTATTCCCGGCGGGGGAGTGGGAGCCTACACCCCCGGAAGTAGGAGCCCACTCCCAGGTCGGACTGGGGACGGGGTGGCGCCGTCCCGTGGGGAGTGGGTCCCTCCCCGGGGGGGGGTAGGAGCCTACTCCCCGGGGGGTGAGAGCCTATAGTCTCCCAGGAGTAGGAGCCAACTCCTGGATGGGACGGGGGACGGGGTTGCGCCGTCCCGTGGGGAGCAGGTTCCCCCCCAGGGAGCAGGAGGAGATTGCGGGGAACACCCCGAATGGTTCAGATTGGAGCAGTGCTCATGAGTACGGAACTAGGCGGATGAAGTTGTCGTTGCGCATGGTGCTTAGCCCATTTTCATTGTGGCACCAGCCCTCGTTGAGGATTCATAGCTGAAACATGTCGTTTGCAGTTCGAAGTGGGGCAGAAGGTGATAGTGGATTCATCTCGTCCTGCAGCCTCGGCCAGCGCTTCCCGTGTGAGCCCCGCAAGACGCCCGTCGGCCTACCCACCATCCACCTCACGATGCATCTGGGAGAAGGAGCAGGCAGACGGCTCACTGCCAGCGAGGGGCGGCATGATTTCTCATCCCACCCCTCGCACTCGTGAGCCTCTCCTCCCGCAGCCTCGTGTCGGCCCAAGCGCCACCCTCGCGGCCAGGGCGCCATGCTGGCGAGGCCCCCGGCGTGCTTGCCCGCCCGGGTTCCCCACGTCGGCGGCGCCGAACCTTACCCTCGCCGGTCTGGGATTCAGGCAACTCGATGGGCGGCGGGGGCAGGGTTCGGAGCTCGTCGAGCACGTGGCGAAATCCGAACCCTGCCCCCCGCCCCCCCTCGACTCGGGAGAACCGACGGCTGCGGGGGGGAGGGGTCGGAGGTAGCAACCTGATGCTGGCGGGGCCCTCGGCGTGCTTGCCGAGCCTGGTGCCCCACGGGCGCGCGCGAGCAGCCCGAGGGGCCACGTCGGCCTGTCTGCCCGTCGGGCCGCCATGCCAGCGGGGCGCGCGGCATCCGCGGGCCGCGCGCCCCGTTGTGGGCGGGCTCGCTGCGGGTGGCCTGCTGCTTGCGGCCCGCGGCGGGCGCCCGAGGCGATGCCTCGGCACAGTGGCCGCGGGCCTCTCGTCGGGTTCTGCTCCTCCCCCGCCCCCTGACCTCGCCACTCCTCGCCCCTCCTCCTCCTCCTCCTCCTCCTCCTCCTCCCTCCTCCTCCTCTCCTCCCCCTCCCCTCGTTCTCCCTCTCTTCCTCCGCCTCCTCTTCTTCTTATTATTCTTCTTATTCGTATTTTTATCATTATCATTATTCGTATTAGTAGTAGTATTATTCGTGATATTATTATTAGTATTATTCTTAGTAGTACTAGTATTATTAATAATATTAGTATTATTATTAATAATAGTGTTAATAATATTAATACTATTGTAAGTATTATTAATATTATTAGTATTATTATTATTATTATTATTATTATTACTACTATTATTATTATTAGTAGTAGTAGTCGTAGTAGTAGTATTATTAGTATTATTATTAGTAGTATTACCCGTATTATTATTGTGGTTATTCTTATTATTTAGTATTGTTATTACTACTAGTAGTATTAGTACTAGTATTAGTATCAGTACGACTATCATTATTAACATTAGTGATAGTATTATAGTATGAGCAATATGATTATGAGTATGAGCGTGAGTGTTATTATGATTATGAATAATAGTATGTTTATTGTTCTTGTGGTTATTTTTAGCAGCAGTAGTAGTAGTAGTAGTAGTAGTAGTACTAGTAGTAGTAGTAGTAGTAGTA